TTAAAAGTCTATGAATATTTCAATGAAAAAAGCTTTATTTATATAGTCACTGAATATTGTGATTATTTGGAACTGGATTCAGAAATAAACAAGAGACATCTATTTCGCTCCGTTAAAGATGAAGAAATTGGAAACATTATCAAACAACTTTTATATACTGTTAATTATCTGCATTTAAACAACATTGTTCATCGAGATATTTGCCCAGAAAATATCATGGTTAATTCAAAGATTGGAGATCAGATTAGATTAATCGACTTTGGTTCCGCTCAGAAAATTTCTCCTAGTGAGAAATTAAAAAATGTAAAATTAAACTTTTTATTTGCAGCACCTGAAACTAATACTAAAAACTATGATTAAAAATGCGATGTGTGGTCAATCGGAATAATTTTACATCTAATTTTATTTGGATTTCATCCTCTTTATGGAAGAAATGATAAATTAATATAAAAGCAAGCAAATGAATCAGAAATAGATTTTAGTATCAAGCAATATGATTAAGCATGTTTAGAAGTCATTGACCTTTTAAAAAAGCTTCTAACTAAATAACCTTAGAAAAGAATTTCTTGCTAAGAGGCTCTTCAACATCCTTGGATAAAACACTTTGGGAAAAGCAAAATTGATAAATCTGAGATTAAAAGGGCTATAAGCAAATTTAGAAATTTCAATATAGAATCAAAATTCTTATTAGCCGCTTACACGTACTTAGTGAGCTGGCAACTGACCAATGCAGAGATAGACCCAATAAGAAAGATTTTTTAGAAAATAGATCGATAGAAAAATGGAGTGATTTCACAAAAAGAACTAGAAGTGACATTTAAAAAGTATTTTGAATTAGATTACTAGTATGTTGATTCTGATAGAATATTTTAGTAGGTTAATGCCAGCTAAACTGGATTTATAACCTTTTCTGAATTTTTGATGGCAAGTCTGAGTCCTAGGACTATTTTAAATTAGGATAAGATAAGATTGGCATTTTAATATTTTGATTTAGACTAGTCCGGATGTATTTCAATAGATAAAATAAAAAAGACTCTACGTTTTGGAAGGATTATTGATGACAAAGTCTGGTTTAAGTTATTTGCATAGCTTAATATAAGCCTCGATGAATATTTATCATTTTATGAGTTCAAATAGTGTCTATATGGCATTTATGAATCATATAAAGTATAAAAAAATAAATATATGACACGACAAGAATAATAAAATGGATTGTTAATTTATAAAGAAACACTTGAAAGTGAAAGCATAAATTTCTAAGTAAATGAAAAAGTAGAAAATTGAAATTTTATGTGCTTAACTTGTCTAATTTATTAATTTTCCAATTTTGACATTTTTGTAATATTTTAATACAAAGGGGTTTTGGGGTTTTGGGG